AATAATCTAATCTACTATAATAAGAAGAAAATAGATGAAAGTTGTGTGAAAATTATTACAATTTTATAATTCATAATTTTTAAACAATTTAATCTAATCTTATATCTAATCTAATAAGAAGAAAATAACAAAGGCATACATCTGTTGAAAGAGATGAAAGTGCTATGATAATTATTACAATTTCTGATCTAAAAAATCAAATATACAATATAAGTAATTGTTTTAAAATAATCAAATCTAATAAGAAGAAAATAGTAGAAGGTGTTGTGAAAATTGTTGTTATTTCTTAATATAAAAAATATTAAATATACAATACAATTAATTGCTTTAAAAGAATCAAATCTAATCTAATAAGAAGAAAATAACAAGGACACATACCTATAGAAGGAGATGAAAATGCTATGAAATATGTTGTAATTTCTTGGGTTATATATATTGGTAAGTGATGTTGCATGTGAGAAGATAACAATTATAAATAGAGTTCTATTTAAATAATAATAGTATAATTAAAATTTAAAACTAATTATACAGTACCGTAAACTATTTAAATTTTAGTCGTTGAGAGATCGCCACGTTGTGTCCTCAGATTGCAAATATTTATTTTAATTTTCCTTTTTAATAATTTTGAGAATGGATTTTTTCTCTTTAATTTGTTTGATGGATTTTACAAATATCCGGTCCACATAACGTACATTTGTAGGTCTGCGCTGTTCATGGGTTCGACATTTGGGGCAGACATTATTTGTCTCTTTAATTTGTTTGGTTTTTGTATATATGCTCTTCATCTAGTAGACATTTGTAAATTTGGCATTTAATAATTTTATTCAGGTTTATATTTTAATTTAAACTATATCATTATCTTCATACTATGTATTTCCAATAGGAATTTATCAATTTATCATCTTACCCTTACTTAATGGATTAGTATTTGAATTCCAAGGGTATTTTCATCTGCCGAAAGATTTTTTTGAACTCGTGCTTTTAAAGGGAACTAGATTTTATGCACGTGCAATGCACGTGGTTAAATACCGTTATTAGGCTTTTTTGGTTTATTTTCTTACTAAAATTTATTCCTCGGTTACACTTTGATAATTTTTGCTCACTTAATTTAAGTATTTTTTGTTTATTTTCTGACTAAAACTTATTCATCGATTACACTTTTGATTATTTATTTATTTGATGTTTTTTTTAATAGGTTATACCTAGTTTAAATTTTTATGTTGATAGTTGAATTGTCAGAGATAAATATAATCTAAATCCAATTTAGTTTTTTATTTTATTTGAATCGGCATGAATCAGAGCTTGACCTGAGGAAATATAGTGTTATGAAAGTGAAAATACTTGAAAAAACAATATTATTAAAAGAAGATGAATAATAAAGTCATCGAGCCAAGATGATTGATTTAAAGTGGCCTAAAATGACAAAAAATAGTTAATAAAAAAATTATAAACTAAAGATTAATGTTAACTCTAGTATAATTTTATATGATAAAAGCATCCACATATGCATATGAATGCACTAAAAATAGTTTATGAAAATTTCTTCTAAAGATTCCTAATTTGACTAAAAAATTAAACTATTCTATAACAATTCACAAAACATTATATTTTGTTGCTTCTATTTTATTTTTTATTGAGTCGAGATCAATCTTTCTTCATCTTTATCTTTTTCCTGGGTAATTCTAGAGTAGTATCTTCATGGTTTACATCGATTGTGATATGAGGCTGGAGCATGTTATCTTTTCTTGGGCTCATTCATCTTTTGTCTTCTCGTCTAAATTTACAAAGAAGTTGAATATATTTCTTATGTTCAACACAAAATTCTGACAATACAGACTTTAATTTTTTCCTATTTCAATAAGAATAAATGTTAATTTTATATATATAAATTTTTTGCATTTTAATTTATTATTTAAATAAGGTTAGGAGCTACTTTTTTTTCTCTACAATGAATTCTTCTGTTGTGCATCCAATAAGAATTTCTATTGTGTCATAATATTACCTTCGCTTTGTCTGTGTCATTTTCTATGAGGATCTGAACTAAATACATTATATTTTTTATTGTCAATTTACTTTAGATTGTAATAATAATATTTAATTTTGATATATTTATTTCATGAAGAAGGAATATCACTTAACCTTGGTACTACATCATCGACGATTCTACAATATTTATCATTTGGACACTTATTATTAACATCCCTATCCACTTGCTTGTTGCAGCCTTTTTAAACATAGAATCACTGCTCAACTCTATTATAAATGGTAGTTATCGTTGTCTTAAAGGTACGCTACTATGTCTGTATATTGGTAAATTATTCTTAGGTTTAATTGTATGAATTTTAGAGTAGGTTTTCTAAGATCATACATCTTTTAAATGTTATAATGGTTGTATATATTAGTAATTTAAATTTATGTTGCATTTATAAAGAGTCTTAATGGAGATGCTTTTATCTTGGCAGCTTACTCTAAAAGAGTGCTGCATATTAAATTTAAAATATAATATTTTTTACGGTGTTATATGGATGTTTGCTTGGTTTACTTATTATTCTCCTATTTCTTCAGTAAGTTGTATCTTTGGATTGATATACATTATTGACGTAATTTACGATGACATGCATATATCCTCTATAAATTTGAGGTAGATATAAGGTGAATTTTATATTTAGTGGTCTATAATAAGAATTTTAGTAATGATATATATTACTTCTATATTTAGAAATCTTAAAATCTAATAGTGCTATTACATTATTATCTTTGAACGTGTCTTAAAAAATTGATCCTTTATTAGTAGTCGTACCCCTAAATAAAGTCATACACAGGGTCGTGATACTATATAAGAAAAAGAAAAAGGGTGATTTTATTTTATTTTTTGCTTACGCAGAGTCATGACATAGTATTTTTTTTATCTTCCATAAAGAACATTTCTTTGATTGGAACAAAGTTGTTCAATATATTCTTCAAGGGGGATTCAATCTGTGCTTCTTTGATAAATATAACTTATGTTAGTGTTCATTGAAGTGATTCTTTCAAATTTTATTTGAAATGAAAACAACTTGATTCTTTTGATGATATCTCTAAATTTTCTAATAGTTCTCCATACATAAATCTTTGTAACTTTTTACCCTATAAATATTATTACCATTAGAGATCAATATTTATAAATTATAATCAATTAATGTTAAGCTATTATATTATAGTCTTTTATTAGTTTTTTGCAATTTAGTCTTCTATCAATTAATGATATTTATGTATTTTTGCTGCTCTAACACATTGGTAAAATTATATGTAGTTACTTTAATTTATATAATAAAATTAAATTTTTAATTTATCATATATTTTTAAAATTTTTATTCTTTGACTGGATATTTTTAATCTGTTATTATTGCTTTTTTTACTAACATCAACTTGACTAATTTTAGATTATAAAAAATGATAGTAAACCTTAAATTATAAGTTACATTTATATATCTTAATGAAAAATATCAAACAATTACTCTTTTCTGTGCCAAGTTTTAAAATTTAAATTTTTTATTTTGTGTAATTTTAAACTTTTTAGAGTATTTTGTCTAATTTTTAAAAAATTTCACTTTTTTGTAATACTTCATGCAATAAACTGATACCATAGAGCTGTTTCATATATTTTATTAATATTATTTAAATTATTAAGCTATAGATAGTTCATGGGGTATTAGGATAGAATATAACTATGATTAGATAGATTATAAATTAAATTAAATATTTAAAATAGCACATGGTAATTTTGACTATGGAAAGCTTTTCCCAAACTCATGCTTTTAAAGGGAGTATGATTTTTATTTTCCTTAAATTTTTTATAATGTTGAGAATGACTTTTGTCTCTTTAATTTGTTTGGTAGATTTTGTAAATATTGCATCCACACTATGTACATTTGTATGTTTGCGCTTGGGGCAGACATTATTTGTCTCATTAACTTGTTTGGTTTTTACATATACGTCCTTCATTTTGTAGACATTTGTGAATTTGGTATTTAATAATTTTATTTAGATTTACATTTCAATTTAAACTATATTCTTAATTTTGAGAATGACTTTTGTCTCTTTAATTTGTTTGGTGGATTTTGTAAATATCTCATCCACACTGTGTACATTTATAGGTCTGCGCTTGGGGCAGACATTATTTGTCTCATTAATTTGTTTGGTTTTTGCATATACGTCCTTCATTTTGTAGACATTTGTGAATTTATTATTTAATAATTTTATTTAGATTTACATTTCAATTTAAACTGTATTCTTATCTTCATACTATGTATATCTAATAAGAATTCATCATTTTATCAACTTACTCTTACTTAATGGATTAATATTTAAATTCTAAGGATATTTTTGTCTACTGAAAGATTTTTTCGAACTCGTACTTTTAAAGAGAGTATGATATGATTATACTACAAGGTACTGGAACGTAATTAATCCTATAGAATATTACATATGCTCCAGATGTGACTTGAGGGCTTCTAAATTGTATAATGCAGTCTTCAATGACAAAGAAGGCATGTGAACAAGGATATCGTCATCCTCAGCTGGAGTTTTTGAACATCATCGGAAAAGTATTAAATATAGCAGAATATGACACTTATTAACGTAGGGTCTACACTTGCCGGTTGCTACGAGTCAAGAACGGTCACCAACAAATGAGGTAGCCCAAGAACTAGGAAACACAATTAGGCACAAATTGTCACTATCATGGCCCATGAATATAGATCCGTTCTGCTTTGCTCAAGAATGAGCGCAGGTGGGGTGGGAATGAACCAAATAATTAATAAATGGTTCGATAATTGTTCGAATAACTATTCCATCATATTCGATTCGATAGTTCATTTATCACTGAACGAATATTTTTTAGTATTTGAGTTTATTAACGAATATAATTTAAGCAACAAAGAATACAAAGTAGCGGTCTGCATGGCATCTTTTAGCAGGCGATTTCTGCTCTGCTAAATTTCGCCCCCGCTTAGATCTAGATGGCAAAAAAGAAGAAGAAAAGTGGGAGAAAAATCTTTAATATTGGTTTGAGAGCATCTAATTGTAGTTTGCAAAGCTCCGGTGATCAATCTGATACAAGTTTCTTTGAAGATGAAGAAGATTCTGCTTCAAGTATTATGGGCTCAACGGGGCCAAAGGGAGAGAAGATGAAGAAATCAATGGTGGAAATCCTCAACTCTATTGATTCTTATCAATCGCAAGCAACTCCTCAGTTGATATCTCGATTGCTGAACTCTGTTAGTGGACCTGAGAGTTCCAGCAGAGTTTCGTGGGCTGATGAAGTTAATTTGGTTGATGCTGAACTCTGTTAGTGGACCTGAGAGTTCCAGCAGAGTTTCGTGGGCTGATGAAGTTAATTTGGTTGATGAATTGACTAAATCTTCAAAATCTGAGTTCCAGCAGAGTTTCGTGGGCTGATGAAGTTAATTTGGTTGATGAATTGACTAAATCTTCAAAATCTGTGAGTATTTTAGTTTCCGATCCTATGCTCCCTAAATCTGGAATAGATCTGGTTACTGTTTCATTGAATCCTGAAGAGAAAATTACGGATACTGTTGAAATTGATTCTAATAGAGATGCTTCGTCTGATTTTGATTCTAATAGAGATGTTTCTAATAAAGGAAAAGCAATTTTTCCTCCTCTTAATGATGAGTCTATGAATAATACTGGAAATGCTAAGAAAACTTGGGCAAGTTTTTTTACAGACAACAGGAAACCAGGTCATGGTTTTGAATTGGACTTTATGCCGCCTGAAACTAAGGATAAGGTAACATTTGGGGATGATGAATGGAATGAGGGTGTTTCTTTTTGGCTATTCTCTCTCATTGGGCAAGTTATGGGACTAAATGTCAGATATAAAGCAATGGAATCTTATGTGCAAAAAGTTTGGGCTTCATTTGCAGTTCCTGAAATCAGTATTCTCAAGGCTGGTGTTTTTCTGTTCAAATTCAAAAATAAAGAAGAAATGTGTGATATACTTGGAAGAGGTCCTTGGTTTTTTGGCTCTAGGCCTCTACTCCTAAAGACTTGGGCTATTGATGAAGATATTGATAGAATGAAGGAGTGTGTTTACCCTATGTGGATTCAACTCCCAGGGTTAAAGCTTAACTTGTGGAATGCTAAGGCAATTAGCAAAATTTTTAGTATTATTGGAAAGCCTATCTCTATTGATAAACTCACAGCTACTAGGCAAAGGCTTGCCTATGCTAGGGTCCTCGTTGAAGTCACAATGCCTGCTCCTCTTCCTGATAGTATCTCAATTCAGGGGCCGAATGAGTCTATTTTCACTCAAAAAGTGATTTATGAGTTCAAGCCAAGATGGTGTGAATTTTGTAGAATGGTTGGACATGAATCAAGTTTATGCAGGAGAAAAGTTAGAGTTCAGAAATGGATCCCTAAGCAAAACATAAAACCTGTAATCCAGCAGGAGGGAAAAACTAATGCTGATATTGGTACTAGCAGTGTACAAAATTCAGTTCATTTGAAATCTGTTTTACAAAAAAAAAAAGAAGCTGTAGAGATGAGGTCTCTTGAACAAAAATCTTTGCAGGTATCACAGGAATCTGTTCTTATGCATGATAATCTGGTGAATGCTGAAACAAATGAAAATCAAAGAACGCAATCAAAGAGGAGCAGTGATGTTGATGAACAGAGGTCTGTGCATGTTGTGCATGCTCATCAGTTAAAAGATGGTGTTTACCAATCAAATCTTACACCTGCTGTTAATCCTTGGATTCAGATACAAAGAAGTAAGGGAAAAGCTCCTGCTAACCTTTTCTCTCATCTGAGCTATTTGAATAATGATCCCTCTACAATTGATAGAGGAGATTGTAGTGAAATATGAACTTTTCAATATGGAATGTGAGAGGACTGAATAAGTCCTCAAAACAACATCTGGTTAAAAATCATATTTTTCAATACCAGATATCTTTTATAGCTCTGCTGGAGACAAAGATAAAGGAGGATATGTTGCAAACATGTACAAAGAAAATTGCAAAATACTGGAAATGGATATCAAATGTGAGAAGATTTGGTAAAACTAGAATATTGATACTTTGGGATCCTAATGTCATGGATATTAATATTGTCAGGTATTCTGATCAGCACATAACATGTGCAGTGAAATCTTTGGATGGAAATTTAAATTGTTTTATTTCCTCTATCTATGGTTTCAACTAACTGGAAAAAAGGAAACAACTATGGGCTGAGCTTACTGATATTCAAATTCTTATTGGAAATACTCCTTGGCTTCTTAGTGGTGATTTCAACTCTGTCACTAGTGATGAAGAAAAGCTAGGAGGAGTCACTCTTACTGATGCAGATACACAGGATTTCACCAATTTTATCAAAGACTGTGATCTTTCTCAGCTGAAAACTATTGGATGCTACTATACTTGGAATAATAAACAAGATCCTGTGTCTAGAGTTTGGAGCAGATTGGATAGAACATTAGCTAATGACTCATGGATTAATCTTTACAATTCAAGTCAAGCAGAATATCTACTTCCAAGCTTTTCTGATCATTCTCCAGCCCTGATTACTATTAAGGAAGATAAAATACAAGGAAAAAAACCATTCAAGTTTTTCAAAATGTGGATTAATCATGATAAGTTTTTACCAACAGTTTCTGGTATCTGGAAAACCAAGATCAGAGGTTTTAAGATGTTTGCTGTATATTCAAAACTCAAGCATCTTAAGGGAGAGCTTAAAGAGCTGAATAAGAAAAACTTCAATAATATCAGTGAACAGGTTGTTAGAGCATGGCATAAATTGGAAGAAGCTCAAAGAAGTCTGCAGGCTGCTCCTCTAAATCCAGAGTTCATCAAACATGAAAAAGAATGCATTTCAGTATTCAACAAGCTTCTGAACTGTGAGTTATCCTTTTACCAACAAAAGGCAAGAATTGCTTGGAATGTCCATGGGGATAAATGCACTAATTTCTTTCACTCTATAATCAAGTCTAATAGACATCATAATAAAGTGATGGCCCTCTATAACAATATGGGACAACGTATTACTGATGGTGAAGATATTATAAATGAATTGCTATCTTTCTTCAAAAATCAAATTGGTACAACTCATTCTACTGCAGTCCCTGATATCAGTATTATCAAATCTGGCCCTTGTCTGAAAGATACTCATATTAAAGCTCTATCATCTCCCGTTTCTAAAGATGAAATTACAAAAGCCATTTTCTCAATGTCTGATGATAAAGCTCCAGGACCAGATGGATATGGTGTTTCTTTCTTCAAAGGAGCTTGGAGTATCATAGGTGAAGATGTTACTCAAGCAATTATGGAATTCTTCAATTCTGGAAAGCTGCTGGGGACTATCAACTCAACATCTATTACTCTGATTCCAAAGGTAAACTGTCCAAAAACCCCAACTGATTTCAGACCTATCTCATGTTGCAATTGCCTCTACAAATTTATCTCAAAAATTCTAGTTAATAAAATTAAACCAGTCATGGGGTATCTTGTCAATGATGCACAGAGTGCTTTTGTGGAAGGTAGGCAAATATCTAGTAATATTTTGTTGGCTCATGAACTAGTTAAGGGCTACAACTGGAAGAGTATATCTCCCAGAGTTCTGCTCAACATAGATATTAGAAAAGCCTTCGATACTATCAGCTGGAGTTTCTTGAAACATATGCTGTTAGGCCTGGGGTTTCCTAAAGTTATGGTTGATTGGATAATGTCCTGCATAACATCTTCTAAATATTCCATTGCTCTGAATGGATCCTTACATGGTTATTTCAATGGACAAAGAGGGCTCAGACAAGGGGACCCTCTATCCCCGTATCTTTTCATTCTTGGCATGGAATATCTCTCAAGAAGATTGGACAGATTGAAGAGTGATAATCAGTTTAAATTTCATCCCAAATGTAAAAAACTCAAGATTACTCACCTCATCTTTACTGATGATTTGCTTCTGTTTGGAAAGGGTGACCTGCAAACCATTATGAAGCTCCACCAATGTATCAGGGATTTTAGTGCAGTATCTGGCCTTGAAGAAAATGCTGATAAATCTTGTATTTTTTATGGTGGTGTCCAAGATTCTGTCAAAGCTTCAATTAACTCTCTTCTTGGCTTTACTGAAGGTACATTCCCCATCAGATACCTGGGTATGCCTCGAATAAGTAAAAGGCTATCTTTTGTGGATTGTAGTCCTTTATTTAGAAAAATTACTAGTCAGTTTCAAAAATGGATGAAATTCAAAAATCTATCATATGCTAGTAAACTTCAAGTTCTTAAGAGTGTAATTCTTGGTATTCAAACTTTTTGGACTTCAAGCTATATCTTACCAACCAGTGTGCTCTAGAGGATTGATGATATGTGCAGGAACTTTTTATGGGGTGATGCCAGAATTCTGCTAGTCTCTTAGGATAAAATATGCACAGGTAAAAAATATGGAGGACTTGGTATTTTCTCAGCTTCAATCTGGAATGCTGCTGCTGCATTAAAGAATATATGGTTTATTCATATAAATAAGGAGTTACTATGGATCAAGTGGATTCATGGTAATTACTTAAGAACCAATCTTTCATTTGTTGGTTGGCTGTTCAAAGCAGACTGCTTACACTGGACAAATTGCTAAGGAGAGGGATTGTTCAAAACAATCAATGTTGCTTATGTGATTGTTCTGGATTGGAGTCAAGGAACCACCTGTTCTTTGAGTGTGTATACTCGAAAGAAGTATGGAATAAGATCATGGACTGGTTGGAATTTAAATGGAAAACCTGTAACTGGGAAATACTATTAGAGTGGTACAACAAAAGCTTGAGGGGTAAAGGATTCAAACAGAAGGTTAAAAGAATGGCTCTGAATGCAACTATATACAAATTGTGGATTGAAAGAAACATGAGGATATTCCAGAAGAAAAGTCGAGGGGTTGATCAGTTGGTGAGAGACATCAAATTTGACATTTTTTCTATAGTTCTTAACAACAACACTTTGATGGAGAATAGAGAGTGGATGCTCTCTCTATGAAAAATGTAACAAGTGTTGCTGTGCATTTCTTCTTTTTGATTTCTCAATTTTGAGATTCTTGATGTACAAAAAAACTTACAGATTTGGTAAATGATAATATAATCTTCATTGACAAAAAAAAACGAATATAATTTAACCAGATGTATATTCGATTCGTTTGTCTATTAAATATTTGTTTAAAATTTGATCACAACTTATTATTTGTATTATTGCACATATAATGTCATATTTTTAACCCACTTACCATTTCTACGTAAGTTTTATAAATTGATTTTAAGACTTAAATAATCTTAAATATGTTTTCTAATTAAAATTTTGATTTAAATATATATACATCATATATTATAAAGAAATAATTTTTATTTATGAACTTTAATACTATTTAAAAATTAAACTCTTTAGTGAAATAAATATACTTTGATATTCGATAAGTATTCGTGAATATTCATGAATATTTATCAAATACCAAGTATTCGAGTTCAAATTCGAAAAACTAGATATATGAATATTAGAGTCCGCATTCGAATTCGATAATTTTAAACAAATACAAACATGAACACCTTAGTATTCGATTCGATTCGATCATTTACCACCCCTAAGCGCATGTACATAGAGCGTGTAAATTACACTAAATCCCCATGACCTTTTAGCATTTTATAGTAAGCCCTTATGAACTTTTAAAATCACACTAATACCCAATAATTTTTTTTAAGAAAACTCCCAATATCCTTTGAGTAAATTGCACTAACCCTCTAATAACTTTCAAAGTGCCTTTTATGTTTTTTTGTCTAATTCTAATAAATGGGGTTGTCTACGAAATGTAAAAAGTTATTAGATGTTTTTTTGAAAAAAAGAAAAGTTATCAGGATTTAGTATGATTTTGAAAGTTCATAGGGTTTGCTACAAATGCTAAAAGTTCATGGGAGTTTAGTTTAATTAACCTTATACTGTGTAGACTACTCAAGTTTGTGTTCCTCCTTGAGAGAAGACATTAGCGGGGCAGAAAAAAAGGAAAAAGATAAGAACTACAGAGTTTCTACTACTTTTGGAACTATAAGAAATAGAAGAGTAGTATGAAAAGAGTAATACACCTATTACTACTAGCAAAATAAAAATAAAAATAAATAAATAAATAAATAGAAGAAGGAGAAGAAAAATGTCAGCTTTAGGAAAGTCAAAAGGGTTTTTGAAATCAAAAATGCTTTTTGACTCGCGAGTTGGGCAACTCGCGCCCAACTCGCAGTCACTGAGTAGGAGGGTGGGCCCCACAGCTTTGTGGGGCCCACCCCCCTACTCAGTGACTGCGAGTTGGGCGCGAGTTGCCCAACTCGCGAGTCAAATAGCACAGCCCTTTTGAAATCGCCAAGTTCGCAGTGTACGTTAGCATTCCATCGCTCTAACCTACGCCATCGCCGCCGGCTCTAAAACCCTCAACAACAAGCTCATGGGATTCGTAAGTCTCTTCTTTTCTTTCTGCTATTAAGGGCTTTAGGATTCGTTGTTTGTTTCTCAGCACCCACAATAATTTTGTAGAATTTCTTCAGTAAGAAGTAAAATCTTGCATCATTCTGTCCAAAAAAATGTAATTTTTTTAATCAAGTTTTGTCCAATTATAACCCTTATTATCAACTTTTTGCCCTCCGCAGATTCAATTAAAAGATAAATATCCCCTCGGTCATCAATTGAGAAATATAAGTGGTTTATTTTACTGATCAAGAATTTATAACTTGAGGTTATCCTACGTAAGTCCATGATTTGAGAATGTAAATGGTTTTTTCCCGGTAAAGCTTTGTAGCGTACATTGGATAAGTTTAGCAAGGAAAGTCAACTTGTTCAGAGGAAAACCATGTAGTGAAGTTGTACGCATTTTTTGTTCACTTAAATATTGATTCAAATTCGATTTGTACCGTCATTTAAAAGAAAAATGTTTTTTAGGTCTACTAAACAAGTAAAATAAGATAGCGCACGTTATTAGCGAAGCCAAAATTCTTTTTTTGGGTAGGGGGTCCACAAAATTATCGATTAAATATGATAATGTATAATATTTCTAGGCTGTTGATTAGTATTTGAACATCATTACATAGTAAGACTTTTAAAATCAATTTTCATATTAGAATATTGTGATTACAATAACATTCTTCTTGACTTCATTTCTTGAAAATTCATTTATTCTTTTAGATAGGGTATTTGATTAGATTGAGGAATCTAGATTCTTAGGATATAATTGTTTAATTTGGATTCTAAATTGCAGTAGAATTTGTCTGATTAGATCATGATTTGGCTTTAATAGAGAAACGCTCTCGTATCCTTATTATATATGAGTTGTGATTTTCATTGCAATAAAAACTTGAAGAAAATTTTGAAAAACAAAGTTTTATAATTTAACATGAGATTTGCTTGTCTGGGGGAGGGGTGATTTGTCATTAGACATTGTGTGTGAATTTGATCTAGCCACTTGTATCTTTATTTATTAGTTCTTCTAGACGTCCATCATCTCCAAATTCAATAAAGATTAAAAAAAAAAAACTTGCCGAACCACGTTAAAATTGGTTAGGGTTTTGTTTGGAGAGAATTAGAGATTTGTTAGTAAGATTAATTGGTGAGTTTGAGTGATTTATAATCTCAGATTTGTTAGTAAGATTAATTAGAGATTTGTTAGTAAGATTAATTGGTGAGTTTTAGTGAAAAACATTATCCCCTTCTTGCCCCATGGACGTAGGCAACTTGCCGAACCACGTTAAAATTGGTTGTTTGTGTTTGTGACATTGATTTGGTTCGTTTGACCTTCTCTCGACGTTCGTTTGATTTGATTTCTCGTAGCACGTTGGTTTGGTTGTTTAGCTTCCGCAGCGCGCAACAAATGGTATCAGAGCCCAACAATTCATTCATGTGCATGAAAGATTGTCCATGCATGCCTGTATGTGTGTATGTACGCGAGTTTGTGTGCATATGTGTAACATAAGCACATACGTTTCTATATGATTTCTATGTCAAATTTGTTAGTTGATGTTAATAATACATGCATAGATTTTGTGAAGACAAGATTTTGAATAGTTAATAAATTTTTTTAGTCAAAATATAGGCGACTCTTTAATAAAAAATTCCCAGACTATTTGAATCAAACCAATTGGAATCATGTATTTTAGTGTTTAAATGCAATTCATTAGGTTCAAGGAAGCATTTAAATTCATTTAGTTTCAAAAAGAAAATTCGAATATGGGTTCGGATCCAAAAGTTACAGTTATAGATGAAGCACAATATCGTATGTCCATATGTGATTTGGTACCCATCTAGGTTTTAATAGTTTTAATCTCAGCTTCCTTGATTTGCATGCGATTAAAAAATAAAAGTGTGAAAGTGACATAGTTTCAACACAATTTATTTTATAGTTTCAACACAATTTATTTTATTAGGGGAAAATGCTTTCAGCCCCTAAAATAGGAGAAAACGTGTCTTCCACCCCTAAGACTTTTTTAAGGAGTGCTTTGCCCCCCCAAAAGTAACATTTTTATTCTCTGAGCCCCCAAAATACAAAGCCAAGAGATTAAAATATGTGAAGACCATAATATCATTCTCTCTCTCTCTCTCTCTCTCTCTCTCTCTCTTTATTTTATTAGGGGAAAATGCTTTCAGCCCCTAAAATAGGAGAAAACGTGTCTTCCACCCCTAAGACTTTTTTAAGGAGTGCTTTGCCCCCCCAAAAGTAACATTTTTATTCTCTGAGCCCCCAAAATACAAAGCCAAGAGATTAAAATATGTGAAGACCATAATATCATTCTCTCTCTCTCTCTCTCTCTCTCTCTCTCTCTCTCTCTCTCTTTATTATGATGTTACTGTGATGATTTCAACTCGGTTTTGGGGGGGAATTTTTCTAGTTCCCTACAAAATTTTTTATCGGCATCGACATCGACGGCGTTGACATCGGTGGTGAAAATTTAGGAAGGAGAGATGCGAGGGCAGCTATTTTCAGATGTCGTTGTATTACTCACGGTACACACGCGCGTAGTACGAGGCGATGTTGGAGCGGGAGCTGGACTGCTTCCTCAGGAGCTACGGGCTGACCGTTGCCGGGGACGTCGACGATAGTGGGAAATTTTTTGGGCTTTCTCCCGGAGTAATTAATGATGTTTTTTAAGTGGGGAAATTTTTTACGGAACTGATGGTGGGAAATTTTTGCATGGAGCTGATGATGGCTACAATATTCTACAAACCTTATTCCGCTAGTATTTGAATTTTAACTTGTTTTGAGGTCATCTTAAGCAAAGCAAACCTAGGAAGTCTTGAAAGAGGCCTACGACGGCGGCGGGGCGGAGTTGGTTGTGGAGGATAGGGTTGGTTGTTAAGGTTATGGGTTGTTAAGATTATGGGCTGTTAAGATTATGGGTTGTGAAGGTTACTGTACGCGTCAAAAATTACCTATAGGTCCCCGAATACAGCTCGAGACAGAGAGAAGGTGATGAACGCCATTATCTAAGTCTAAGAGGATTATCTAACGCCGATGAACACATGAAGCGAAACAGCGAACCAAGTGGCCAGCGTGCTCACCGGCCACCACCAAGTGGCCCGCACACTCATCGGCCACCAAAACAGCGTACAGATCAACGAAACGATGAAATACGCGTAACGACAGAATGAGTCAAACCCGAGAAAACCAAGAAAGCCTCTGGCGGCCGGATCGCGTCGAAACGATCCGGGGCCGAGCCACCAAGTGGCAATTCGGTCAGATTTGATCCTGTTTCGGTTTTGACGGTTTTTCTTGGGATTTGTTTGTTC